CGCGGGTCAGAGTGGAAACAGTAGGATGGACCAGCATTGGCGTTTGCTAGGCCGTCACGACGATATCACACGGAACGCTTGGAGGGCAGGGCGGGGCTTGCATCGGACCGATGCATTAGAAAAGCTGCCCGCGGGCGTGCAAAGTACTCACACGCAATGGACCGGCGCGCTGATCCGGAAGGAATAGGTAAGGGCGGTGGCTTAGTCGTGGCCAGAGAGCAAGTCTAGTTGCAGCGCAGTACAGTACGTAGCTACTGTATTGGTCGGCTCGAAGGGCAAGAGAGATAGATTGCAAGGAAGTCGTACAGTAGTGGCAGGATAGCTACTTGGGAGCATGGACAAGCAAGAGGGGGGGCCAAGAGAGAGGTGATGAGCCAGGGTGGGGTGTGGGCCAGCAAGGGGCGGGGGAAAGGGGGGGGGAGAGTGTCGTGCTACAGTATAGTTGCTGTACTCTGCTGTACTGTTGTTCTGTAGCATCCATCGGCAACTTTGGCGTAGCAGAAGAAATGGCAGCAATAAAATCTGATGCGGAGAGAGCGCCGATGCAGGTTCACTTCTCAACTGCATGCTCGGCCAATTTAGGTGCGAGTCGAACAAAGCTCACTTGTCACTTGCCGCACAACCTTTGCGTGCATCCGCCTGCAGTCCGGACCGGTGCTCCGGACCGCCGACATCGCAGACATCTGGTCCGGTGGGGATCATACTAGTGTCACGGCCTAACATCGACTCATTGATGTTCAAGAAATCATCGCCAAGATCGGGACCAGATCAAAAAAACGATGATGATAGCGCGATCTGCTCGTCGGGGTCTGCTCCGACGCCAAGAAACCAGAGTGCATGACATGTCACACTACGCAGGCAAGCTACGACTGGCAATGCGCACGCACACTCTCTGCTGCCTCGCTTCGTCCATCTCTTTCACTACAGTACTGTACTGCACTTGTACTGTACTGTACTCGCCCATCTCGACCAGCACACTACTGCACTGTTGCTTCTGCCACTATCTCACTGCTCTCTTTTGACGCCAATAACCTATCTACTGTAGCTTGCCTGTGATGGATTGGCCCCTTTGGCCTATCTGTGCTCTCAGACCGCTTCCGCCGGCAATCCGGCCGCCGCCGTATCGACCCGTGTACCATGCGCGCAGGGTCGCCGTGATCTGCCCTTCTCCTCGGATGTATGCCATTGAACGAGTGGCATCACAGGTCTTAGATCCTTCCTGAACCCTTTCCATCTGCCCGGCATCCCTGATTTGGATGGGATGAGTTCACAGTGCACCGACAAATCCAGATGTCACTGCTGTCGGGAAACACTTTTCCGCTTGGCGTGCCTCGCTCGATCTTGCGATGCTATCTGCTACAGCTCACTTCAACTTCTCCACGACCCTCACCGTGTCCGTCGGCGTCCGTTTCTCAAGCAGCCTCGTGTGGATCGTGAGCCACTCTTTGTGTTCTTTTTTTTTTTTGGTTCTTGCTCGTGGCGGCTGCTGTGCTCGGTCACAGTTGCCAATTTGGGAGTGAAACTCAGCGACAAGGCGGCGGAATCCACCGATCCGCACATTTGCGAGGTTGTCGTCCTGCTGACTGTGCGTTGCGAAGATGGCGTTGCAGCCTGAGTCTGAACTTACTACCTCCAGGTTGGCGTCGGCAAGCCCATGCGTGTGTGTGTGTGTGTGTGTGTGTGTGTATGTGCGTACGGGTGGCACAATTTTGTCTCAGTGTTGGATGGCGCTTCGATTCTGCCTCAAATACGTTGAACACTCAACCTTGTCGCGACATCCGGTCGCTTGCTTTCCGAATCATCTCCCCGTCCTCGACTCGCTCTCTCTCTCTCCCTACCAATCATTGCTGTCGACTGTGGATCAGTTCGTCAAGGCTTTCAGTATCTTATCGCATCGGCTACCTTTGACAGGTCGGATTTCCTTCTTCCATCTCGGATATTGACGCTTGCCAAGCCTCCGGTTGCCACCAGAACTCTTAGCGTTATTCTCAGAACGCCTTAGGCGACATTAGCGGCTGATTTTTTGCACTCGGATCGGCGTCTTCCGACATACATCACCACTCTCCACCGAGAGAGAGAAAAAAAAAACGGGAGAAGTCCAAGAGACCTCAAATCCACTTGCGATACCATTGTCCTCACTCGTCCTCCAATAAGCTCGCCGGACGAGCTTGTACCGGTAACATTTTCTCGCCAATTTGCTCGGATCACCGCCTGCAATTTGTTCATCGCTATCACGCTTCCATCGTCTTGTCTATCAGACTCTCACGCCGATTCCAACGACGCGTTTACCAATCAGGCTCTAGTGGCTCCGGACAACCTCAGCTTGCAGAGTCAGACCCTGTCGACCACTGTTCTGGTTCTCTGGCCCGCGGTCTCTCTCCACTTCCGTCGGCCCAGCTTGAGTCTCTTGCAACGCCAGCAGGATTGTGTCGTGTGCGAAGAAAGAAAAACCTGTTCCCCGACAAGACCACCTTTGAGAATCTTTGCAGCTGACTGGATCAGCTCGTCGCAATACAGATAAAAGGAAAGCCTATCCTTGACGTTGGATACCAGATTCACTCATCAGCCCTTGCATCCTCCTCTGTCTCCTTCTTCCACTCTTTCGCCCATACAGATCTATAGAACATACCTCGAAAGAATCTTGCCAAGATGGTCTTTTTCAAGCGCCTCGCATGGATCGCTTCCGTCTCGATGCTCCTTGTTGAGCAGCAGAGTGGAGCTCTGGCCGCTCCCAGCCCGGCTCTCATTCCCCGTGCTGGTGGTTCCATCGCACCACGCAAGTGTGCTACCACCCACGGTGCTGATGTGACCGTCGATGAGCAGACTGAGGCCCTCGTCAGCAACGAGCGCGCTCGTCTCATGAAGGTACGCAAGGCAAAGACCGCCTCTTCGGACGATCAGCGAACCGCGCGCCCCACCGACCTCAACCTGCTCGCCGCCTCCACCAAGTACATCGACGTCTACTTCCACGACATCTACGGCACCAACGGAACAGGCAAGCTGACCCAGACTGCCGTTACCGACCAGATCAAAGTCCTCAACACGGCCTACGGACCCTACGGATTCCAGTTCAACCTCAAGCAGACCAACTTTGTCCAGAACGATGGCTGGTTCTACAACCTCGACTACTCGAGCTCGGCTGCCACCCAGATGAAGACCTCGCTTCACCAGGGCACTGCCAAGACGCTCAACTTTTACACTGCCCAGCTTGCCGGCGGTCTTCTCGGATGGGCCACCTTCCCCTGGGAGTACTCGCAGAACGGACCCACCGACGGTGTCGTTATCGACTACCGAACCCTCCCCGGAGGCTCGCTCCAGGGCTACAACCTCGGCGGCACTGCCGTCCACGAGGCCGGTCACTGGCTCGGTCTCTACCACACCTTCCAGGGCGGCTGCTCGGGCAAGGGCGACTACGTCGACGACACCCCCGCCGAACGTGACCCTACCACTGGCTGCCCGGCCAACAAGGACACTTGCACAGCTTCTGGCCTCGACCCCATCCACAACTACATGGACTACTCCACCGATGCCTGCTACACCGAGTTCACCGAGGGCCAGACCGTCCGCATGACCGCCCTCGTCAGCCAGTACCGAGGCATCACTGCCTAGAGACGAACACTAAGAATAAACCAAAATAGAATGACGTCTCCATTCTCTGCACACAATCTGCTGTAGATACCCGCATAACCCAGAGTCATACAGTAAAGGGGTCCATTTTCCGTATCATGTATGCGTCTGTCTGTGCGTGCGTTTGAGGGCTGCAAAAGTGACTGCGGTTTGATACATGTCACTTGTCTTTGCTGTTGTTCGAAACGCGAAGACCGAGAGCTTCCGAGATCTCCGTTTCCTCTAGACCAGATTCGCGAAGGCGTGCAACGATCTCGCCCATCGATTCGAGGACTTGACAGCCTGTGCGGACTTTGGTTGCGCGTGTTGAGGCGTCCGTGAGTTGGCCATTGAGAGACGTACAAGTGTTGTCTGGGTGATTGGAAGCCAGGCGACACGATAGTAGAGCCTGACTGACGGGATCACAGTTGCTATCTGACTCTGGCTTAAATGTCCAGCTGTGGTGGGAACGAAGCTGAATCGCATGCCACTGGAGCGACTTGACTCTTCGGATCATTTCGTCGACGGATGAAGAGGGACCCTCGAAGCAGAGATAGCCTGGCCAGCCGACGCGCAAAACGCCCCAGATCTGCAGCTCGGGACACCAGTTGTTGAAGTCTTTCAGTTTGGACGGTGCCTTAAGGTGATGAGACCAGAACAGCGCACGAGAGAGCTGGATCTCTACGGAAGACGACAGAGGCTGAACGTGGGCCGAGGCATCTTTCGCTGACTCGACAGCGTCAGAATCGTCTCGTTCGGCCTTTCTGTCTTTCGGAGGATGGTCTGCAAGGTACGCCTGAGATGTGGTTAGAAGATCGAAGAGGAAAAGAGACTCGACGCCCTCTTGTGACCACTCTCGTGTCCGCGCAACGAGGTTGTCCTTGAGCCCCTCGACAACGGCTGGATCTGTCTCCGGCGCCGAGACGTCCACAACCGCATGTGCATTTGGACCATCCGTCGAAGCGAGGGCAAACGTCATCCAGATGCCAGAACCGAGGCAGAGACGGCCACTGAGCCCGACTGCATCCTCTGCAGTCGGCTCGGTCAGGAACCGGCGCCAGGTTTCGGCCTTCTTGTCGTCCGAAGCCCACTCCCAGTCGCCTTCGTTGGACGACTGCATCACCAGATCCAGGTCGGCAGCTACATCTTCCAACACCGAGTACTCGAGCCTGATCAGCCCCATTTCCTGCTCGAAGCTGTCTCGTCTGTCATCCTTCGTGGGAGGACGATCCGACGTAGTGAGAACGATCGAAGGACGGAAAAGGCTAGGCAGTGACTCCTGCACTGCTGGATTTGATCTTCCGGAATCGCATGAAGTGGAGGACGACTATGAGATACGAAACCAGTATACCACAGAATGTATATATTGTATACACACGAACAGGATTGTATAAGTCACTCTGCCCGAGTGGTTAAGGGGTAAGTCTCGAATCAGATCAAATTCGAACGCCTTGTGATAGGTGTGTTAACTTATACGCTCTGCGTGCACAGGTTCGAATCCTGTGGGTGACGTTCTCTTTTTGGTCTTATGATCTTTTTGGCACTGTCGCTCCCAGGTATCGACATGTACAAGGCATCTATCTATCCCAAAGCGTGATGTCCGGCGGTAGGATTGCGTGGAGGCGTATGCGGTGCATTTCTTCGAAGCTTTCCCGATCCTTATTTTAAAGCACATGTTTTTGTCCCAATTCTAGCCAGAGTATGTACGAAGAATGGAAATGATTCTTTCGCTACCAGGTCGAATTTGAAAATGGCCAATATGTAGAAGGCATCAAGATGTTAGACCCTGATATTCACACTCTTCGAGATGTTAGACCATGAGGCAATCACACTCAGCTCATTGACACCTTTGATGATATAGCGATCAGGTTTCGACGGGAATATCTCTCAAACGTTGAGCAAGCATGGTGTAGCTTACATTGTCGGGGTTGGGAAAGTAGTGCAACAGGACCTATCGGTTTCTGGTGCCGCCAAACCCAGTGCTTGGAGCTAAGCCACCGCTACGCGAAGATGATCCTGCCCTGCCAAAACCCCCGAAAGCATCGTCGTCGTCGTCAAAGCGACGGCGGCGGTATCCACCCATGTCGCCATAGCCGCCCATGTTGCCGCCAAAGTAGGCGTCAGATGGTGGATGGTGGTACTGGCGCTGGTTGCGGTTGTTGTTGAGCGCCGCTGTGGCAAGGCCGCCGAGACCGAGACCCGTCCAGAATCCGGGCCGCCACGAGGATGACGACGCCCCCGCATTGGCACTGGCATGACTCGTGCCGGGCTCGTCCTTGGTGTATGGCGGTGGTGGCGTATTCCAGCTTCCCCAGCCCGGACCCCATCCGCCACCACCTCCACCACCGCCACCGCCTCCTCCGCCTCCCCAGAAGCCGCCACCTCTTCCAGCAGCCCCGGCTGGCGCAGCACCACCACGTGTGCGCAGGGACTGGACGAAAGAGTAGAGAATGTATCCGAGGATACTCCAAAAAACCAGATGGAAGAGAGCTCCGGACCAATCCCGATCAGAGCGAGAGCGACCATAGAATGATCTGGAGCTCTCATCCGGACCGTACGCTGGGAAGAGATGGTAGGTCAAGGAGCAAGAATCTTTGAGGACGAACGGGTCCGAGGGATAGTCGTAACCCTCGCACGAGACTTCGACCCGGCCCATGCGGATCGAGGGAGGCAAGTCGGCGGTACACTTCCACTGTTCATCGCCCATGGATGTACACTGCACCACGTCTGGCTGGAACTTTCGGCATGGAGATCCCTTGCACACCAGTTGTGGAAGCGGATCTGTCCTGCGATATGCTGTCTTTTTACCGGCGTAGAAGGTAAGAGTCTTGATCGAGTCTATGGGTATGCGCCGTCCAGCTCCATAATGCGGCGAGGACTTGTAGCCGCTCACGCTCTGCACTCCGACAAGTGCTAGCAGAACAGCGATCGCCACAAGGGACAGCCGTTTGCATTGTAGTGACCTACGTGCTAGCATCTGCCTCTCGTGGCGTTCTGATGTTGATGCGGACTCGTCGTTTCGGGAGGGTCTATGAATCATTGCTGTCGTCGTCATTGTCGCTCTACATCATCAGTAATGAGCTGGAGTCAAGTCGTAGCCGAGTAGGGTGGAAAAGTAGAGGGACAGAAGAAGATGTCTTGAGCAGAGTCTTACATGCGAGCAAGCGCACGACGGGCGGCTTGACATGCAGGTGGAAGGACTCAGCATGTTGCAGTTGGTGCCACGACAGCACCTACGTGGAAGGAAGGCTGTGTGGCCAACTGGAAGCTTCTGGCTGTCTCGTTGTGCACAGGCAGCCCTGCTGGGCGAGCCTAACGTCTGGCCTGCGACAAAAAAATAGTACATTGAAAAAAAGGTCGCGTATTCCTCCACATCCTCCATCCTCAACTTCCAATGTTACATTCACAATGGAAAGAGATTCTTTGAATGTTAGAAGGATCAAGTGTTAGATAGCATCGAATGTTAGACCCTTCAATCAAGCTCCGCCCGAACGACAGTCAGGTCCGACTCGCTTTCGCCAACTCAGCAACGTGCGACCTGAGACCGGCGATGTTCTGCCCCTCACCCTTTTGTCTTGGCCATGTACCGAGTGGGACTGTTTGGGGACGCGGTTCTTGATGCCCTTTGTCTGCTTGAAACAATCTGTCGGTCTCACATTCGCCCGAGCGATGATTCTTTGTGTAACAACGCCCCAGCAAGATTGTATCCAAGCGCTGAAACCGCGACAAAGGTCCGTGACGGTGACGCGCATTTCGCAACAATCCTTGACGGAGAGAGGCAACAAAGCTACCCCGATGTACAACACTGGCACATCAAGAGCTGACCGCATCTGATCCGTTTGTGTGTATTGCACCGGTATGGCGCATGGATGCGATAGAAGCTGGCCGGCCAAGACTTCCTCGACCTGGACCGAACGGAAAGTTGTTGGCTGGCCTGCCCGGCCCGGCATGAAGGAATGTGAATGTGCGTGCTCGTAAACAATATAATTCCAAGATTGGCCAATATGAACTGGGCACGGTAACTGAGGTTGCAGACCGAGGCGGAGTGACAAGAATCAGGGCGACTACAGTACTGTATACCCGCAGATGCTGTAGGATGCAGCGACGAGGGTCTGGAAGTGCGAGGCGAGCCAGGGTTCAAGCGAGGCGCGATCTGCAGGTGTGACAAGCGAGTAGACGTGTGCATTGAGTCGCAGGCGGGGACACGGTCACCACACGGAGCTGGGCACAAGTGCCCATTTCCCAGCTGCCGACGCCCAACGGCAGGACGCGACAGCCGTCAATACAGAGCCTAACGCAGATCTCTCCTCTTCTGTGACGTTTGAAATTCCGACAGTTTGTTCCCTGATTTGCCAGGCGCAGGACCGGCAGGTCGACGTGCATCCACGGAACCTTTCCCGATGTTCTTGGAAAGAATTTTAGTACACGATTACCATTCACCAGCTACCTCGCATCTACGGGGGCAAGCTCAGAGCCACTCAACGAATGGACCCGCCGAACCCTTGTCTTGTCGTGGTCTTTTGCATTCTTCCACACGCGCAAGCTGTTGTCGTGACTCTAGCAGCGCACGAAGACGGAGGCCTGTTTAGGAAGAAGACCGATTGCGCCTTCTGCCGTCCTGGCCTATGCTAGCTCAAGCATGGAGGCTGCCGATATGTGCATATAGCTTGCACTTCAGCACAGCATGTCACTGAGATGACAATCAGGCCATCTGCTCCTGAAGCTTTGCATCGCCTGTCGGGCAAGCCCGAAAGTTTGCAGCACAAGACCGAGTATTGGTGTCATAACGACTTGAGTTTGGGTGTCGGAGGCGGGCACCAGAGTACTCAATTATCGGTTATTACAATACCATGTAATTTCGTGTGAGACACCGGAATTGCTGAGATGGGCGTGGCAATGGTCGCACACGTCCCGTCTGCAGATTATCCGCCCTCGAACTTCACCAGTCGAGAAGGTGGTCGATCGTTCACCTTCCAACAGACTCACAAAGCAGATTGACGAGCTGCTCGCTTCATACAACGACTCGAAAAACGTGATTGCATGCAGTTTGTACGGGAGCGCGCGAGACGCCTGGCATAGACGCAGTGATCACGTTGAGGAATCGTGTGATACGACGAGGAGCATCGGATGCTCAGTCGAGAGAGACTAGCTGGACAGTGATGCATGAAAAGGCAAGATTAGTGGTTGGGAGCAAAAGACGGCAACGGCCCGACTAAGGTTCACACGCTGCCACGCTCGTAGTTGCATTGGGACGGCGAGTCGGATGCTCATTATTGCAAGCGAGCAAGAGGGGCGGCGAAAGACCACAGTGGGAAGTGGAATTGGAGCGGGACAAGGTTTCGGGGCTGCGTAGATCCAACTGGCCCCTCCTTTGACACTTGTCGTCTGCACCCTGACGATCCTTGCGTGACCACTCGATCCTCGCCTCGTAGCTCGCATCTGAACCTGATTCTCCCATCTGCCCAACTGCTCCTGTTCCCGGCATCACAGCCATATTCTCGCCCTCCTGTCGGCAGTCGGCACGCGCATGCACGCAGACGTACCTGCGAGCCGCAATTGCAGCATCCTGTCAACTTGCCTTTTGCCTTTCCACCCCCGACCAGGGACCCTGGGATCTGGCTTGTGTAGTTGTACAACTGTCCATGTCGAACTCGATCCGCTCCCCTTACAAACAGCAAGGCTCAAGCCCTCGCCCGCGCAGCTGGTGAATCGGCTTCAGCATCTCGACTTTAGGCCTCTCCTTCTCCAGATTCGACGACCGTCGGCCAGGACAGTACTCTGCCGTCGAGCCGCAGCTTGTGCATCCCTATGGAGCTACCGTGCGCCCTCTGTCTCCTGTCCGCAACCTTCAGCAGCGCTGTCCTGACCTTGCAACCCGCCGTGCCTGGCCCTGGACCGCCTGCCCGCCGTCATGCCGATGCAAAGCCACTCCAGTACCCAGCTGAGTGTTTCTTCTGCACAGAGTACGCCCTCTGAAAGATGCAATATATCGTAACATCAGAGGCCTGCGGAAGCAAGTGGCTGGTGCAGAATCGCGTTGCTCGTCGAAAAGTTGACTCGATCTGGCCGGAGCTACTTCAGTACAATACGAATTGGGCGCTGCTGCAGCCTTGGTCGTATCCGCTGCGTTACCATCTGAAACTTTCCGGATGTTGTTCTACGCCCGCCGCATGCTTTTCCAGATTGCGAGCTAACTCAAGGGCACAGCGTGCATCTCTACTCTGCTACCGCTGCTGCTGCTGCTGCCGCTGAATGCGAAAACCCAGCTGCACGCCCAGATCTCCTCACTCCGCCCTTCTCGCCAAGGTCTATTGTACATTCCTGAACCGTTTTTCACTTGTCCACAAGGCGAAGCTTTGGCTCCGTGCTGCACAGTAGTCCAACTATCCGCCCAGCCCAATTGCTGGACGTTCAGGTGCAACTTCAACCAACATTCTTCATCAGCAGTTCCCTCGATCCCATGGCCTTTCCAGCTTTTCTCCAATCGCCGCCTCGTTGAGGGTCGTTCCGGT